CCCCAAAACCCCAAAACCCCAAAACCCCTTCATTAATAATAATTATTGATCTCAACATGATGCTTGAATATAGGGGTTTGTATATAGACAGTACCTGGGGGTCCTAGTGATCTTTTGGAGACTCACGTGTATATTTGAATAACTCTTGTAAGCCTGTTTTGATCCCAGTTGGATAAAAACTCCTTAGTGGCATCTCCTGCTGAAACCAGTTCTTTCAGTACTGACATAAGTTTGAAGAGCTCATTGTAGAATTTATTTGAGTATCAAGATAATATAGGTATTGCATTATCTAGCTGAAATAAGTAAGCAGATCGTGAATTATCTACATTGATAACATCTTTCGAACTCCATCCTAATTTTAACAAATTTTTGGCGAAATATACTCCCTTGTAGAAAGTATGGTGTTCCCTGTAAAACTGGTGAAACCCAATTCCCTTTTTATCAAGTTTTTGGATCAAGAGCTTGACATGTGGGGAAAGTGATGCTGTGAACATTACTATTTCGAAGTTCTCAGGCATGCTTATTCCAAAAGTTCAATGGTTCCAGGTCTCACTAAAACATATACATTGTAGTATTAGTTTTCTATCTCTACTGTCGTCTTTATGTTAGGTGGAAGGATAGGTTTGAAGGAGGAATTAACTAAAGTTTCATCGAGATCAAGCACCATGGTCTTCTTTCCCTTATCCTTCTCTTTTTTCTCAGGTAAGTAATACCTACCTGAGTGCTCCCTTTGGTTTAGTTATAGGAAATACTCTCTCCGTTATAGCCAGCTTGAGCTATGACTGAGTTCAACTTGTTAGTTTTCCCTCTTTTTGGCAAGATTGGCTCTGAGTTATTAAGCTTCAGAGTTTTGTAATTTCCTTGATTGATTAGATTCTTTGCAATCTTTCTTGAACTCTTAGGCACCATTAAATGTTGTAAGCTGTAAAGGTTTGCTCCAATAGTTATTTTTCATATTCAATTATATTTATCAACCTCGGGGTTTTGGGGTTTTGGGGTTTTGGGGTTTTGGGG